TTTCTTGTGATCAGATTAGTTCTCTCTCCCTCTCTCTCTCGTGTTTATGTCAAGAAAGATAGTGGATGTTCACAAGAAACTACTGTGAACAAGATGATGCTCTCTCTTGCTGATTTATGCATCTTTCTGCTGTGTTTCCTACTGCTTATTTGGCTCTTATGGGTGTTCCTATGTGTGAGAAAATGCCTTGTGAAAACAGCCAGGGCACATGGGTTGTGTCTTTGAGGCTTTCAATCAACCATCTCACTTTTAGCCACCTCAAAAAGTGCTATATACAATAGCTGATCAGAAGTTAGTACATTAAAGATGCTGGCTTGGTTGTTCATGGACTTCACAATACCAATTATTGGACGGACATAAAAAAAGTGAAGGGGACTTGCATGATCAAACACATCTCTGTTTCTATGATGTTCTGACTTTTCATAAGGACCTATGTTTCAAAATCAAAAGATGCTGATTATAAATCTGAAAGATTTGACTGCTATTTCCAAAGGGGATCTAATATATACCTTAACATTTATTTCCTCTCATGACCAAGTCGATCTAAGCCCACTTGACATGTGAATAAAAACCACCAAGTGTGTGGTATAAGCCCAAATGAAGAATGAATATTACTTTAAGAAAGAGAGACAAATATAAGATTTGAATTCATCATCTACTTTAATACTATCTTAAAGATTTTGAATTGAGTGACCACTAATTTTAAGAACTTAAAGGGTAAAATAATAATAATAATAATAATACGACTCAATATATACTTCAACAATTTATAGAATTGAGAAGAATAACTGTTACCTGTATGTGATGTATCCTTCCTTGAGTTGGAGCTGGATTGATGTAAGGTAACCCTCCATGTTCCTCTTCAGTTGAGCAGTCCCAATCACCTCCAAGTTGCTGCAGTAACTATAATAATTACATTTACTTGAATACTCATTCCGAGTTTTAGCAAGTGGTATGGTTACCTTGACTATAGTGGTCCATCACCAAAGGTGTCATCACTTCTGGTCCATGTCGAGCATGGAGTAAATGCAGCTGAAAAGCATATGAGAGAAGGCAAATATGAAGAGAACCCTTCACTGACATGTGTTTATATTGCTATGTTGAGTTATGCAACCTTGGAGAAGAGTGCCTGCCAAATGATACCTTCATTAATTTCAGTATGGTACCATTAGCCTCTGTATGATAAACTTTAAACATATACATGTTCATAACAAAAGCAATTTAGGAAGACATGTCTTTGAGAATAATAGGACAAACATTGAATAGTGTGAATGGTTGGAAAAGTAACTAAAGCATGGGCTCCTCCTCACTAGGAGGTTATGAGAGGACAGATGGATTGTTAGTGTGGTACATGTTTCAGTTTGGAAAATTTTCATTCTTGGTATCTGGAGGATCAAGAATATAATGGCTGATTTTGATATTAATCTAAATCAACTTATTGTAATTCTCTAGCTTTTTTTTTTTTACAACTGTTGAACAGATCTATAACATTTTCTGTTGTCATATTCAACTGATATATTGTGATTTAAATAAAATCGGAAGTTATCGATCCTAAAATCTTCTTCTCATCATTATCATCATCATCATCACCACCACCAATCAACCATAACATAACTTCAAATCAGATACTTGTAGCAGGTATATTGAAAAAAAGAAAAACCTAAAGTCAATATCAATGGAGGTTTATGCTAGATAAGTTGTTTATTATGTCTAATTCATTCGCTGATCATATAATGTTAGTATGATACTTGCAGATGTTGTAGATGAAATTCTTAGAGATGTGATCAGATAATATCAGTTGAGGGAACATTCCAAGCTTGAGCTTGAGAATAATAAATTCTCAAAGATGTTTAATCTCACGGTCTGCATGAAACTTTGATAGTCCAGTTTATCAAGCTCCTTAGAAATGACTCAGTTTCAGTCTCGTAGAGTTCTTCCCTCCTCTAAGGTGTAAGCCTAAGCTATTGAGTCAAGCTATAATTACAAAGGTAGTCTTTCAGTACCAGTTAGGTCTAATATCACTTGGAGAAATTAGGTCTGGTTAGGAAGATAGACATGGGCACATCTACAAGAGTAGTGCCACCTGATCTAAAATTCCAATCTATTAATTCAAGAGCTCTCATATATCACTTCAACAAATACACAGTTCCTCCATGTGAGACTATTCATCACATGTGAATACCCAATGGCGCCTTCCTAACGCTGACAAAAGTGTACTAGGAGTTGAGAATTTGTCAACACTTTCAGTGACATTTTGTATTTCCAAAACACAGGAAGCTCAGAGTCCACTGAAGGTCTCAGCTGTAACCTGTAAGATGTTAATGGCCTCAATGGCCACAGGCTGTTCTATCGAATATCTATGCAGGTGATTGATTGCAAGCGGATCACTTTCATAAGGCATATAAAGCACTTGCATGAGATTTGTCATGTCAAATGATCGAGTCATGGTAACTGTTCAGTTGGGCACAAACATAAAAGCATAATCCAAAAAGCGACTCAGGTAGATATTTGAGTGCAAGAAGAGGTCTATAAAAATGAATCAAACAACTTCAAATGAAATCTCACCATTGAAACATGTAAATCTCGTTCCTTCAGCATGAGAAACATGAACAGAGCTGGAATTCATGTAGATGCCACAGTTTGGTACAAGTCTGGTTGCTTTCTGCTGAAAAATATCTCAAACATAATCTGAAAGGAGAATAACAATTATTGAGGCTTTTGACATGAACTCGATGCATGTATAAATCATGGATCTTGTGTATACAACTTACCTCATACCTGTGACTTTGTCCAGAGTGTAAAGAAGTACCAGTCCTTTTTGACAAGCATAAATCGAGCAGGTTCTTCCTCATTGCGACGTATGGATCCCTCAGATGCTTGGCATATCAAACACAGGATGCATGCTGCACCCTCATCCAATCTCACTTTTCATCTCCAACACAAGATAGGAGCAATCCCAGCTCAGCAGTGCTCTGCTTGTCATCTTCCAGGCTTCCTTTGTGGGGCATATATAAATACCCGCCAGGGAGGGCAGATGTACAGCAATAGTTAACACGCACTCGAAGACATCCTCAGACTTTCTACTACTGAAATCTCACTTCCCCTGCTTTCCCTTCCCTCACTTCTTGGGAGAAGAGAGAAAGAGAGTCACCACCAATCAACTTCAGCTTCAAAGACAACCATCTCCAAGCAAATTTATCCGTGTGCAGCTCTCTTCGCCCCCATTTTTGTTCTGCCATCATCAACATGATTAACATCACTAGCTAGCCAGAGTAGTGGCGGCGGAGGCAGCAAAGAAGTGATAGTGAGCGAGAGACTGACGTGAGAAGGGCTGCAAGCTTGAGAGATGATCTCGTGGCACGACCTGTACACGGTGCTAGCGGCGGTGGTGCCGCTGTACGTGGCGATGATACTGGCGTACGGGTCGGTGCGGTGGTGGGGCATCTTCACGCCGGACCAGTGCTCCGGCATCAACCGCTTCGTGGCCATCTTCGCGGTGCCCCTCCTCTCCTTCCACTTCATCTCCACCAACGACCCCTACGCCATGAACCTCCGGTTCGTCGCCGCTGACACGTTGCAGAAGCTGCTCGTCCTCGGGGCTCTCGCCGCCTGGTCGAACCTGCTCCCACACCGCCGCCCGCTCCCCGGCGGCGCCGCCCCTCTCGACTGGTCCATCACGGTCTTCTCCCTGTCCACTCTCCCTAACACGCTGGTGATGGGCATCCCCCTCCTCATCGCCATGTACGGGCCCTACTCCGGCTCCCTCATGGTCCAGATCGTCGTCCTCCAGTGCATCATCTGGTACACCCTCATGCTCTTCCTCTTCGAGTTCCGCGCCGCCCGCCTCCTCATTGCCGACCAGTTCCCCGACACCGCCGCCTCGATTGTCTCCTTCCGGATCGACCCCGATGTCGTCTCGCTCGACGCCGGCGCCACCGAGGCTGCCGCCGAGGTCAGCGGCGATGGAAAGATCCACGTCACGGTTCGCAAGTCGACGTCGTCGAGGAGGTCGGCGATGATGACCCCCCGCCCCTCCAACCTCACCGGCGCCGAGATCTATTCCCTCAGCTCCTCCAGGAACCCCACCCCGAGGGGGTCCAACTTCAACCACGCCGAGTTCTTCGCTATGGTCGGCGGGGGCGCACCCGCCCAAACCTTCCGCCCCTCGAGCTTCGGGGCCGCCGACATCTACTCCCTCCAATCCTCTCGCGGCCCCACCCCGCGTCCCTCCAACTTCGACGACGAACCCCATCGCCACCTCCACCACCCGCCGCCGGAGATTTCTGCCGCGGGGAAGAAGCCCTATCCCCAACCCAACCACCAGCATCACCACAACCGAGCAGGTGCCGCAACGGCAACGGCGACCGGGGCGGCGGCGGACGCAAAGGAGCTACACATGTTCGTGTGGAGCTCGAGCGCGTCACCGGTGTCGGAGGTGGCCGGCCTCCACGCTTTCGGCGGTCAGGACCTCTCCGCGTCGGACCTCGGCGGCCGCGCCGATCACGGAGCGAAGGAGATCCGGATGCTTCTGCCCGCCGAACTACCCCTCAACGGCCCCACCACCAAAGGTTTAGTTACTAACATATTATTATTCCAAACACCAATTAATACCCGTTTTCTTAAGCCTTAATCCCGACCATAATCCCAACTAATCTCGATTTAAATGTGAGCGGTTTACAGCAGCCGGTGAGGATTACCGCGCGGAGGAGTTCAGCTTCGGAGACGGGAGGAGGGGAGCGGATGACGGACGTGAGGAGAAGGAGGTGATCACCCCTGAGGTGCTGCAGAAGCTGGAGGCGAAGGTCGTCGGAGGCCAAGGAGAAGAGAGGCCAGGCGGGGCCGTCCACCACCAGATGCCGCCCGCCAGCGTAATGACCCGCCTCATCCTCATCATGGTGTGGCGCAAGCTGATTCGCAACCCCAACACCTACTCCAGCCTCATCGGCCTCATCTGGTCCCTCGTCGCCTTCCGGTTAGCGTCAATACCACCACCTTCTGAGCGCCTTTACAGTACGCCATCGGTAGACAATGATAGCAGGACGCAGTGCTTGAAATATCGACCTGGTAATGAACTGTCTAAAGTTGTTGTCGTCGTTGATTTTGGGGTGCAGATGGCACGTTGCTATGCCGAAGATCGTAGAGAAGTCCATCTCTATACTCTCCGATGCTGGCCTCGGGATGGCCATGTTTAGCTTAGGTGAGTTATATCCACGGCTTGCTCAGCAAAAACTGGCTGTATCCGATGCTAATGTTTCTGAACTGGCAGGGCTGTTCATGGCGCTGCAGCCGCGGATAATAGCGTGCGGGAACACGGCGGCGGCGTTCGCGATGGCCGTACGGTTCCTCACCGGGCCAGCGGTGATGGCCGCTGCGTCCATCGCCGTCGGGCTGCGCGGGACCCTCCTCCACGTGGCAATCGTTCAGGTTACTGCTCCGCTCTCGTGTTCTCTTCCATCTTCGGCATTGCCACTAGCTGTTCGGCCGTCCGATTTGACGGGATGGGAATGGAACGAACAGGGCTCGGTGTCTGTCATGTCACCACTGCCGTCTGATCTCTTCTGACACTGCGATCTCGTCGCTTGTCTATTCTCCTTGTACGATCAATGATCGTGTGCACACACGTCCGCATGCTGTGTTGCTTGGACCACAGGGGGAAGACTCACATGCCATGTTCTTGTTTGTGTGTGTTTTAGGCGGCACTTCCGCAAGGCATCGTGCCCTTCGTGTTCGCCAAGGAGTACAACGTCCACCCTGCCATCCTTAGCACGGCGTAAGCAGAAGACAAGCGAACAGTAACAAGAAGCAGTCGGTCTTTGTGAATTCACTGAGCATATCTCGTAACTTGCAGGGTTATATTCGGAATGCTGATTGCTCTTCCCATCACTCTGGTCTACTACATCCTCCTCGGACTGTGACGGGCTTCTTCCACGGCGATCCCCCACGGCTCAGCTTCGCGCGTCCATGCAAGGGAAAAAGAGTGACCTGCCCGCCCGTGTCCGACTCGACTGGCACGGAAACAACGCAGCCACGTGAAGAGTATTAGTACGTGGATAATTAAACTCTCTCCGAGCTGCAATGGCGTTGAATATTATTAGCTCTATTCCAGGGGAAGAAAGCAGAGCAAGGCTTCGTAGTAAAGGAACTGAGAAATGTTTTCTCCATTAGCTTTCGATTTTAACTTGGCTTTCTGTGTTATTACTACAGTGTCTGCTTTCGGATGCAAAAAGGTTTTGTTTGGCAAATGACTCGAAGCATCTTTTGCGTGGAACATATACCATCTTTTTGAACGGGCAGCAAAGCTGCAAAAGCCCTCAGGATCGTCCTGCTCCTCTGTCTTGTATCGAATTCTAGCGGGAAGCATCTGTCGGCCCACCAGATCACGACACGTCCCGTCGCGGTGTCGGGGTTGAGGCCATCGATCGGGATGCCAGCAGCACCGCGAGCTCATCTTCGGGGCGGACTGAGCTCAGCTTGAATGCTGCCAGTCCGATGCAGGCGGTGGGACGCATGGTGATCGGGGTGCAGGCGTTGATGGATGCTGGTCCACCACGAGAGCGAAGGCATCGTGTGCCTCCCGGTGGTCCAGAGGCACGGCCATGAGCGTGTGTGGGAGCTCCTAATCCTGCCGGGAACAGGGCCGTGTGCTGCACTAGTGTGTCGTGTGTGGAAACTCAACAGCCCACTCCTGCTCCGTAGACCAATCAAACCGAGCAGTGGGCGCGGTGGTCGATTATGAAGAAAGAGATGGTGAACATGGGGAGTCCATGTGTTGGTGCATGGAATGGGACTGTCTTCTTCCCGGTGGTCTCATTTGACAGTGGCTAGAACTGCCTTTACTTCCTATATCTGCATTGTAGCTGCTCCATCAAACAATACCATCTGATGATGATGCCAAAAACAACTTGTTGAAACCTTCGCCTGTCGTGCTAAGACGACGGATTTCACATGGCAAAGAAGGTATCGAACGAGGACAAGAGGCGGAAAGCTGAGAGACAGAAAAAGGAGGCCATAGTAAGGAGTCGTGCATGGACGTCACTTCACTTTCTCAAGCCCCACGCCGCACTTCCACGCCCTCCCATCACCGATCAAGTCACCCCCGGAGCAGCATATGCTACCGGCAACATTCTCCCATCACGCGGCACGAAGCGGCATGTAAGCTCCTTCTTCAGACATGGTTGTGGGGAGCAGCAGAGTCTACCGTCTTCGTGTAGAGTGTGGGTTGGGGATTGGGCTTCATGAGAATAATTGCCGGGAAGCGTGGCTTGGTGTTGCCCGCCCAACCCGCTACATCTTCCAGGAGCGTGCGTTGTGGGATCGGAGGGGAACACACGCAGTGGCGCGGGGTCTGCAATCAAGGGATTCGCTGCAGGTACAGGTGTCACTCCTTGAATACCTATCTGAATCTAAACCCAAATCCAAACCCAATTAAAGAATCTTGAACTCTAACTATAGTTCTTCAGCTAACATCAGTGAAGAAAAAACACAATCAAAGATGTTTATGTTGAATTTTTTTTTTTTTCCTTGAATACAACTGTGAGAAAATCTTTCAATGATTTGGAGAAAGTTCATCATTCCTTTTATCTACAAGTTGATTAATTTGAGCATGTCTCTCTCTGAATAGGAACTTTGGGTTATTCTGCCCTAACAGCAACTGCTTGGATATAACCAGACAATGTCTCTCTCTCTCTACAAGAAAAAACTCCCATCACAGAAGGTTAATGTCAATTATTGCCTACTACAACAGTACATATAACATCATTAATTACAATGGTCCAGGCAGATGCAGCAACAATGAAAACTACTTGTATGTCAACTAGTTGATGACTGAGAAAGATGGGTTATGTGGGGTTGGGGGACCAACATACACACCTAGATACATGCTCCTTGTTCATGTTAATGGGTTGCATGGATCCTTTCTCTCTCACTCCTAGTTGCAAACATCAATCTTTAAGTTGCTAGTCAACCATAATTAGCCCAACTTGCATAAGAACTCTTATGACACATATATATATTATAGGGGGATTCTTGCTGTCATATACCAACAATCTGGTGATACAATTTGATCTAGTATATATTTGTTTAAACATATCACAAAATATATGTTTTTATAGTACTCAATGATATTACAAATGTGTATGAGGCACACAACAAATGTAATTTGATGGAGTGTATATATATCTAAGGAAGGTTGACTTGATTCTCAATTCTGGTTGTTTCTCCTAAACAACATCATAAGCATTTTTTATCGACGAAAATATTTTCGTCGCGATCGTATTGCTGCACAATAATAATTTTCTTAACTATGATCAGTTTAAACAAAATCTTGAGCTCAAGTTCAGATGATAACTTGTCATTGGTGAAAACATCCTGTGCTAGTAGGACTGGTTAGGCTCAAAACACTTCTCTTGATTCCTTGTTCATGTTGCTAGAGAACAAAAAATAGAAGCATATCACCATCATTCTTGCTATCCTGTAAGCAAATTGTTCATGGAGTAGCTGCAATCTCATCTGTTTGCTCCTGAGAGAGAAAAGATGTTTTCGACGGCGGCAGCGACAGTCTGCGACCGACTTCTTCCTAACGGATGGCCGATCAGGACGAAGAAGCCGATCGCATTCCCGACGACAGGATGGATCCAACAGGAGCCAATAAGATGGAGGAGAGAAGAGCAGAGAGGCTTGCAGGTGCAAGTGTGGTTGCAGATGGCACAGCAATGGATTGGGTGGGTCCAGGCTTGGTAGGTCTCTCCATGCTGAGCCCATGTGAGAAATGGGTCCAATTTGGTGTGGCCCAAAGCCAGCTTTTGAGATGACATTATTGAGGAAGACTTGTCCTTTTTTGACCTCTGTTTTGTGGCCATGCATTTAGAGGCTTCCTCTTTGGTGAGCTGGTGCTGATGTTGATGCAAGTGGCAAAGTTTGCAGCTCTTGGTCTTGATGTTGGTTTAAGGATCTCTCCATGGATAAGATAACAAGGATATGGAGCAAGAGAGGAAAAGCTGTGATGAGCTTTTCACATACTTTTAGACAAAGGCAGGCTTCTAATCATTGGTGTCTTCATCTAGCATTAGGTTTGAACTGTTCATGAATCAAAACACTTGTATTTTCCATTGGTCCCATTACAATTTAATACAATTTTGGTGTGTATTGAAGCAATTTATGTTGATGTTTTTTTTATGCGATGCGATATTATTAGGGGTTTTTTTTAGCTATGAAAAAGGGTTGACATTCAAGAAAAAACAAATGGATTAGTCTATGTAAAAAGATCATTTAAGTTTTATTGAAATAATTTTGATATTTTAGAAAAAAAATCAAAATGATACTAGTCTATATCGATAAGTTATAATTAGGATATTACGACTTATTATTGTTATAGAATACAATAGCATTCAACCAATATGCATCTTTCGAGAAAAAGATTATAAAGATAAAACCTAATTTTCTTTCTATGATTTAAACAAAAAATTATCAAAAAAATCATGTGCATGTAAAAATGACATTGGATTCACTATAGCACTTTGATTCTTTCTTTAATTCCAGAAAATTGTAGGTTCCATGACAATCATCCGACGACAAAGCCATCAAAAAGAGATTCATTTGGTTCATTGTTCCAAGCATCGCACCTTTTTGACTCTAATGATTGTCCTTATGATCTCTCTTTTGATTTGTGAATCATGTCTTTAAGCTTCCAATGAGTCAAAGAAGAAAGGGACATGAATGGCCATGGTGTTCCAAACCAGATGATTGATTTACTAATTTTTTTTTTCTTTCTTTCTTTTTTCTGTGGTTTGAGTGCCATCAATTTGCAGGACATTGGCATCACAATCACCCATTTTGGTATGTGGTTTTCTGCTTGGATCATATTGAGATGATTGATTTGATGGTACATGAAAAAGGATCAAAGCATATCAGGCCCAACTTATTAGCTGTAGTCATTCAATGAATCCATACTTAGCTAGTATCGTCATCATCGTCGTCATCCTTCTAACTTCAATGTTGAAGGGATTAATCGAACATAATTCCGATAATAATTTTATGAAAAGTTTACGTCTCAAAATTATCTATACCGAAAATCTTCTCGCCCAACATGATTCTCTCTGGTAAGTGTTTTTTCGGAAATGAATCAAATCAGATTAGTATGCTTCTTTCCTTAATGAAAAAAAAGTTAAATTAAAAATTAAATTTTAATTAGATTGGCCAACTTGGATTAGAGAATTGAATTTGGAGAACTATTTACAAAGTGGCAGAAGTAGCATGAATTAGTGTCAAACCATGCAAATGGATATGCCAAAACACATGCTAATGCTTGTGATTATGATAAATGGTAGTTCAAGCACTTACATTAAATTATCCTTTGAATCAAAACAGCAGAGTTCTGGCCCTTTTCTAATAGGTTAAACTTTTAGTATGACTAGTAATCCAATCCAATAATTCATCATGGTATCAGAATCCATGGAACTGTCTCTATTTCATTAAATCCAAATCAAGCACAGTAAGAGAAACCTAATATGGACTGAATAAATAACCCATGATGCTATCTTTTCCTTCTATTTTCTACCACCATTACAATATTCTCTTCCATCAAAAAATATAGATGACAAAAAAAACACAGGAAGCAACTCTTTTGATTAATAAATTAAGTACATTGATTTTTTTTTTCTTTCTAATATTCATCTTGAATGCATACTCATGCAACATAATAAAATGAGCAACAGAAGCTGAGGCCCATCTAAGTAGCATCTCTATTGCTGACACAAAATTGCAGCCTTTCCTTGAACCCTCACTAAAGATCTTCTTCACAATGTCAAGTGGTTTGGCCCATTTTGGTGTGTGGAAGTCATGCCATGCCTTGCTGCCACCATGTCCCAATGACATCTCATACTTAAGCTTAGGCCTTACTGATCATAAGAGCACTCATACAACATACTTTGGGAGAGAAAGATTAGCAAGAAGACAGAGACAAGAGCTCCAAAATTAAAACCCAATTCAATTTATAAAGACAAGATGATAGTCAGAGTCACTCTTAAAAGTTAAAAGGTTACTATTTCAAATTTAGGCTCTTTTGGCAGTAAATTGATAAAGAAAAACAACAAAATGCTGACAGAAATTGAGGCTGCTCAAACCTCTAAGAATGATTAATATTTAAGATAACATCTTTTTAAACTACTTTGAGATGTCAACAACCTTTTGGTAAGGATTCAAACACAAAAATGAGTGGAAACAACTGTTAATTTCATATTTGTAT